TATCCTCCTGAGTTCTTGCATTTTTTTTTTTTTTTTTTGAGAATTTTAATATTTATTTTTTAGTTATCAGCAGATACAACATCTTTGTTTGTATGTGGTGCTGAGGATCGAACCCGGGCCGCAGGCATGCCAGGCGAGCGCGTTACCACTTGAGCCACATCCCTAGCCCGAGTTCTTCCGTTTTTAAGTCTCTTCTTCTTAAAAGCTATGTGTTAGGCGGCTTTGGAGAATAAAGGAGACAAGGTCTCTCTCACGCAGTCGCGTTTGCGCGGTGTAGGTGGGGCTAGAGGCCGCCTAGGCGGTTGTAGGGTGACGGCGCTGCCGCCATTTTGTAGGGTGTTTGTTGCAGCGGCTGGAGAGGAACGACGGCGGTTTGGCGACGTTTTTCGGCCAAAGGACCTTTTGCTTTCGCAGAGGTGAGGTTTCGGGTGTGATGTGCTGGGCTAGGCTACCGTCGAATCTTATTTTAGGTCTCGGAGCCAGGTGTTCGAGAAACGACCGGTTCCTGGCCTTGGCCTCTGGGGACTGAGTTGGCGGTTCCTGCGGGGTGCCGCTCCGTTGGTGGCCTTTAAAACCTGAAGGTGCTCTGGCGTCGCGGTCCTGCCAGAGGCTCTAAATTAGCCCCACGGTGTTGACCGAAGAGCTCGGACTCTATTATAGACACTGCCAGGGCCGCGAGTGCTAGGTCGGTCCGAGAGTGCGAGGTCGTGTCCGGAGACCCTGCGAGGGGCCCGTCGCTGGTGTTTGTGTTGTCGGAGATCGATTCCCCCGCTCCCAGATGCCTGACCTCCACCGTTTGTAGCGTTGGGGGTCTTTTCCCTAGTCCAGCGTTTGTCCGTGTTTGTACGCCAAAGCCTCTGGCCAGGTGCCCGGGGCGGAGAGGTGGGTGGGGATTGGGTGAATCCAGGTGGTGGGATTCACCTAGTGCAGGTAAGAGGTTGAAACGTGGGGAGATTCGTCCTTTGTGCAATACTGCCCCCCTCGCCACCCCCCCCCCCCCCCGTGGAGCATACCATTGTGGAGAGAATGAGCCTTTCTGGTAGTTCTGCAGCGTGTTATCTCTGGTGAAGCAGCCAACCTGCAGACTACCGGCCAATCACCTGTATAGATGATTCTCCAAACAGGCACCTCCAGGCCTTTTTTTTTTTTGCCTATTTGAAAATGCCCTCGAATCATAACTTGTAAACCCCCCCCCCCCTTTTTAAGGTTGTAAACTGTTCATACAATAAAGTTGTCAAGTATTTTTTAAGATCTTTTAAAAAGGCGATGGAGCATCAGATTTCTAATACTGATGTCGGGTGTTTTTATTGAAACCTCAGTCACCTGATGATTCTAGCACGTAGGATTTTTTTCTTTTTTTAACTAATTAGAGGCAGCATGGTAATTTTAGGTAGCTTTGCTTTTCTCTATATGTGAAGGAACCTTACAGAAGGGGTAGGTCCTAGAAGCTTCTCTTTGCCTCTTGAGAAAATATTTCTAAAATTTGCTGGGGACCAAAGTGGGTGTTTACGGGGCTGGGACCAACAGCTGAATTAAATTTAAAATAGTGAACCCGACTAGAAAAATATTGGGTTCGTCCAAGAAACTCAATCTTAATATTGCATATTAATAAGTTTGATAATTTGAAAACTTTGTTTTTTAGAGGAGATGATTTAGCAGACTCATGGTAGGTAGGGAAAAAACAAACTAAAGCAAACACAGATGTGTTGCAAAGCCTTCATAATGGATGGTCATGATAATTACCTTTAGTCATCAGAAGCTGAAATTTTGCTTGCTATTATTTTAAGAATGCTTAGGGGGGTTGGTCACCAGGATGAGGATCCAAAGAGGTCCCTCAAAAAGGAGGTGAACTTCAATTCTGGCTGTGAGGGTCCTTTGATGTATGCTCTCAAAAAGGAATTTATGTTCTAAAGTGAGGCACATGATTGAATTTATTGAGTGAAAGAAAGAAGTACACAGGGTGGAGTGTGGGTGTTGAAGAGAGGATATTGCTAGTTCCACCTTATCTAGACATATTTATACATGTAAGATCAGTAGTACAGGGACATGAGCTAAGAGGTTGTTTTCAGTTCTCCTTTGTATTTGTAACTGGACATGTTGATCATTCCTAGGATGTTGGTCATTTACAGGTATGTTGATCATTATTCAAAGGGGTAGTATTTTCTTTCTTTGTTTTTGGTGCGTTTTGCTTTGTGAACACATTTTGTACCTGTGGATAAGGTCTAATAATTGTTGTAATGGTGTTCTTTGTGACCTTTAAACCTGAATTTTTAATCCATGTCAAAGTGGACTTTAATCATGGCCACTTTGTGGTGTTCTGCATGCCTCTTTTCTGCCTCTTTAGTGTCTTCTGTCCTAACTCGAGGGTTAGAGGTGCTTGGAAAGGCCCAGGTCCTAGATTCAATCACTAGCATGAGGGTGGGAGAGAGAAAAATGTTTAGCCAAGCTGAGTTGTAAATGTGGTTAAAATACATTTTTGGCAATTGAAGGAACAAGTTAGGAGAATTCTTCTAGAATTAGGGAAAAGAATAAAGTTTATTTATTAGCACTGGAGATTTAACCCAGAGGCAAGTTTATCACTGAGCTACATCCTGAGCCCTTTTTTATTTTTTATTTTGAGACAGGATCTAACTAAGTTGCTGGAGCTTCTGGGATTACAGTCTTGTGCCACTGTGCCAGCTTTAAATTTTTTTTTTTTTTTTTTTTTAATAATTCTGAAGACTTACTAATTTCCAGTGAGAAGCCAACAATAATTTTAGGATTTTTTATTTGACTTGATCAGTATCTTCTCTGTTTGCTTGCTTGTTTAGTTCTGGGAATTGAACCCAGGGGCATTTTACCAGTGAGCTATATCTCCAGCCTGTTTCATTTTTTTATTTTTGAGACAGGTCTTGCTCAGTTGCTTAGTACTTCACTAAGTTGCTGAGATTGGCCTGGAGTTTGTTAGCCTCCTGCTAAGTAAGCTTAAAAGAAGCCTCATGAACCAAAAGATGTATAGAATTAGAATGGGCACAGAATTAGAATCAGCATCAAATTAAAATATCCTAATGTTTGGGCTGAAGGTGGTAGAGTACTTAACTAGCAATTTGGAGGCCCTGGGTTGATCTCAACATTGCTTAAAAAAAAAAAAAAAGTTTGGTGGCATCAGGCTCTGAAGGCATGATACATAACAGGGAAGACCTCCCAGGAGAATTGAAGCTGCCTCATTTCAAAGCCATTAATCAATTTGAAATATTTTAAATTTTTACTTGATTTATTTGCTTATTTCTCATTTAGGCAAGCTGAATAAGGTTAACTAAATTATTTGCTCCATTTTAGATTTTTGCCAGCTCCTTTGTTGAGTTGTGAATTTCTTTTTGCCATTTAAACTCACCCTATTTAGCAGAGTTTGGACCTTACTGTTAAAAATTTTACGCTTTGAAAAAGAATTAAGTTGGGAAGAGGCAGATTGGTTAAATCGAGCATAGGTTCAGAATCCTGTTGTATATTGGAGGTGTAGATTGAGTCTGGGAATTGTGTTACCCTCATAGTCTGATGTTACTTTAACCATGCCTCATTATGTATCCCCATAAGTTGGTTTCTTTTTCAGGATTACTCCAGATTTATAACAAATAGATTTTTATTTTAAGAAAAACTACAAATGATTTGCAAATAAACTTCTTACTGGAGAAAATGGATTTATAATAATCACCTTTTGGTTTTTCAGTTTCTCTGTTGAATATTGTGTTCTTTCACTTCTATTTTCTCTTTCTGTGTGTGTGCAAGGGGTGCTGGGTATCAAACCTAGGGCCTTGATAATGCTAGACAAACACTGACCTACACCCCAGCCCCTCCTTTGTTATTTTCAAACCTTGGAGTCATTCTAAGATTTAGAAAAAGAAGTTTGAGAAAAAAGCTTAATTAATGAAAAGCTCTTTACCTTTAAATAGAAGTTACCTCCCATATTTAATATCCGTTTCTTACATTGATTATTTGTATTATATGTTAACCAAGCTGCATGACACTTGTGATTTTATTTAATGTTAAATCAGCTCATGTTTTTTTTTTTTTTTTTTTTATAATTCCATTACAGACTTTAATAAGATAATCCCTAAATACATGCATAGTGCATGTGTACATATAATATCTTAGGTATTAATCAATCCTTTAAAATACAGAGTATTTGCTTTCTCTAAAAATAATTACGGTAGCACATTTGTTGTTTCATTCACAAGCACACTTAAGTCAAATAAAAAGATCTGTTTAAAGTGTCTCTTTGCTGAGATGAATAAAACCCCACACTACACACACACAAGATCTTAGATATGGCTTTCCTCCAAATAAATTTTTTTTAAATTTCACTTTTAGTTATACTTTAAAAAATTAAAGTCAATAAGTACTTTAAAATATATATTACATCCAGGGCTGGGGTGTAGCTCAGTGGTAGTGTTTGCCTAGCATGCTCTAGGCCTTGGGTTCAATCCCTAGCACTGCAAAAAATACATAAGAATTATTAATTAAAAACATACATTACATCTGGAAACTTAAGGAGTTTATAAGGATTTACAACAATACATTTTCAAAACATGTTGGAAGGAAAAACAATTAAGTGATTTAAGGCTCTGAAATTAAAAGTCAAACTATAAACAGCTTTGACAAACCTACTCTTCATACATTTCCTCTTACATTATAACTGACTCCTCAGAAGTATTCATTCAGTTACAAAAGTTATAAAGAGCTCATTTCTCCTCCAAACTATTTAAATTCAAGTGATTTTTCTGTAGCTGTACATCAATATTGATGTAAGAAGAACATCTACAATAATTACTTAAACAAAGCACATTATCAGATTATTACACAAAATGTGAATTTTGACTTAAATAATCCTTAAGAATCCCACCCCAGGTTTCAGAGAGGGTTTCTTCTTGGTTAGAGGCTTACTAATAACGCTGAGCTCCAACTAGTCTCGCCAGCTCAAGGCCACCTGCGTCAGGAAGCTGGCATGATGCACAGCACACACCTACAACTCCTGGGCTCGCTTTCAGATTCTGTGGCCGGAGTGCTTGGCAGGACACGGGCCTCACCTCAGCCCTCTGCCACACGATTCCTTTCTACACTGAGGACTCCCCTTTGGCTCTGGCACGACCAAGTGTGTGCATTTCCTGTTGAGGTTCAGCTGGCAGCTCCCGCCATGGAACGTGAGCAAAGCCCACAGGGTGCTTCTGTCTTCAGATGACACCTGAGAAAGGCAGGCAGTGATTCCAAAAAAAATCTGACATGACTCTCAAGAAAATCCATTGACTGGCAGAAGAGCTCCACACTGTACGGACAAAGTCACCCAAGAAGGCTTTACAACAGGTAAGTCAAAGACTTCTCGAGCTTCTCCAACCTCGGGATTGTCCCCGTCCTCTGAAATTATGTGTGAAGCTAGGGCATTGTAAGAGACCTCCTTGGCTTTTCCAGCCTTAAGAAGCTGAATAACCTGCGGGTCGATGTCGCCCATCGCGTAGTACTTGACCTCTCGGGAACTTCGGGCGCCCGGTCCGACATGGTGGCGGCGGCCCGGACGGCTGCGGAGGCGCCCGCCCGGCCCGCGCGGCGGGCCCCGGCCGGCCAGGCCCTGCGAATCGGGGCTTGCTCCCCCGCCCGCGCCTCAGCTCATGTTTTAATGTTAACATTTTTTAAAGAAATTTATTTCTAATTAGAAAATTAGCATAAATGACAGTGGCAGTAAATTAAGACAAAAAAAAATCATTGATTTCAAGCTAAATACTGTTGTCTACTGAAGCCTTAAGCCTGAACCTTTCAAAAATTTGAAGATTAAAAATTTTTGCCAGATAGGGTGGTACATGCCTATGATAGCAGCTACTCCAGAGGCTGAAGCAGGAGGATCCCAAGTTCAAGGCAGTCTGGGCAACTTAGACCCTGTCTCAAAATAAAAACAAGAAAAAAAGACTAGGAATGTAGCTCAGTGGTAAGAGTGCCCCCGTGTTCAATTCCTAGTACTGCCTCCCCTCTGCCCACAGAATTTTTTTCTTTCATTCTTTTTTGTTTGAAGACAAGAACCAAGCTGAGAATTTGTCCTGGTTATATTCAGAAGAATTGAAAGATGGTGTATTAAAGGTCTCACCGTGTTATCCATTATTTAGTACTAGATCTATGCCACTCAGTAGTTGTCAGATATACCAGTGGTAGAGTACTGTATGCCTTGGGAAACATACCTAAAAATATTCTACAGCCTTTATGACCCTACATGCCATATTTAAATAATATTAATGTATAATGTTTCTATTAATAATGTTTCATTTATTAAACAAATCCATTTCCACAGCTCTCTATAACCTCCACAACTCACTTTTTCTTTTTTTGGTTAACAGATGCGACATTCCCAACGAACACACTGCCCTGACTGGGATAGCAGAGAAAGCTGGGGTCATGAAAGCTACAGTGGAAGTCACAAACGGAAGAGGAGATCTCACACAAGAGAACAGGCATTGTAAACCGCATCACCAGTTTAAAGAATCTGATTGGTAAATTACTCTCTACTTAGTAACATTTTAGTCCTAATAGTTTTAATGATTTCTTATTTGTTTATATAGCTTGTATCAAGTGATTGTAGAATGCAGTCAACATTTATTCATTCAAAAAACTCTTATCCATTACTGTTATAGGCTGGCTTCTGTAGTTGCAAAGGCTGTAGCTGCAATAAAACAGTTTCTATCATATATCTGTGTCTGTCTGGGGGTATTGAGAGACAGTTGATCTGCAAGTGAATAAGAAATATATTCAGGGGATGGGGATGTAGATCATTGGTAGAGGACTCGCCTAGCATGTGTGAGTTTGATCCCCACTACCACAGGAAAAAGTAAGCAAGCAGGCAGAAAAATATAGTCAGTAGCATGTTGATTTCTAGCTGCCAGTAACATAGTTGGGGAGTTGAGACACACATAAAGTTCAGTAAAGGTGATGAAAGAATGTCCATTGAGTGCTTTTAACCTGTGTGTAGGAGGGTGGTACATAAATTAGGGTGCTCATTATGTGTTTCAAAAGTGAGGTGATGGAAGGGGTGGGACAGTTTAATCCAGATAAGAAAGGTAACATGTGGATAAGTTAAAGTGCATTGGGGATTAGTCGCTTATATTCTACAGGTTATATTTACAGAATTAAGGCCAATGAATATGTTTGGTATTTTAGAAGTTTACTTATATTCTAAGAACTGTTTTATTTATATACAGGCAGTAGCTAGTAATTTAGGAAAGGGTCTCAAAAATTTACAATAATATTGAGTCTTTTTTTTTTTTTTTGTATTTTTACTGGTGTAAAATTTGGAGGTAATACATTTATATAGAATTAAAGGAATCCTAAAGTTCTAAATATTAAAGGCTAGATGAATAGAGTTTCTTGCACACTCTCTTCCATTAATTTCCCTTTCTCATTTGTTTTGTGTTGGTTTTATGTTTTCTCCTTGTTTGTGCAGATGTTCCATTGGGACTGTTTACCAGATTGCTTTCTAAATTAGCCAGCTGGGGTTACTTTAAAAAACAGTATGTAATTTTTTTCCTCCTCCATGCTAAATAGACTTGTTCTGCTAAACAGTGAGCTTATTGGTAGTCAGTGTAGACTAATCATGCTTTTTTAAACACTGTTACATAAGGGAATGTGGAGGGAGGTTGAATGTAGGATTTCAGTGACTAGAGCAAATTGATGTATAGTATAATATAAAAATCATATCTATCCCAGTATATTGATAAGTATACAAAATAAGGTTAACATCATAATAATCATTATTCATAAGTTATTATATATTGTGTATGCACAAAGGAAGTGATTTGATTGATTCATGTTTATAGTTAACTACATAAACATAATACCTAGTCAATCTAATTAACCACCAGACCAGTACTTTCTTCTTTGACATTAGCCTCAGACATATTTGGTGGTAATTGTTGATCATAATCCAAAAAATTCTTTTTGAAGGTTAAAAACTTTATGAGTAGTTTTTATAAAACTATAGAAAAAAAATTTAAATCCAGAAAAATGTGAAGAAGGTAACCTTTATAGTGGCCCCCTATTTAGATGTAAATTATTATTTGTTTAAAAAGGTTTCACAAATCTTTGCCTCTGATTATTTATTGAATATAGATTCTAAGAGGCTAAAGGGTATGAACTCTTAAAAGATGATTCTTAAATATTTTCCTTTTCTTAGAAGGTTCATAACCAAATTGTACTTCTAAAAAATGCTTCTTCATGTTCCCATTATTTTAGCCCTTTGTCACATATATTGCAAAGTGTCTTTTCTTTGTGAGTCGTCTTTTAGCAGTAGCCTGTGAGTTGGTCTCTCTTCCTACAGGTCTTAATCCATTCTGCACACTTATTGAGAAGATGATGTGACTGTAAATACCACTTTTATATCCTTAAATGTCTTTCTATAACAAGGTATCAGGTCTTAAACCAGTTTAGTGTAAATAGGAATCACCTTGGAGGGGTGTGTTTCAAATGCAGATTTGATCGATAAGTATGACCCTGAAGCCCAGGAATCTCATTTTTAGTAAGAACTCCTTATTCTAAGTTGTTATTTAATAGACAAACTATTTGAGATACACTCCTTAGCCTGAGCTTTTAATGATATATTTTCAGCCAGAGAATTGCTATATTTCTCAGGGTGAACATTGCTCTTGCTATTATTACCTGAATAATACATAGACAAATCCATCTCTAAGCCATTGTGGCTAAAAGTACTTTAAATGTAAAGTGATAATATGCCATTTTTCTCCCTTGGAATTTCTTCTACTTTCCCCTTTGTCCATATCCTGGCTTCCCTTTACGGTGAAACTCTGTTCCCATCTTTTTCATGAATTCTTCCCTGACTATTTTAAGCAGATTTGAGTTTTTTCCTTTCTCTGACTCTTAAGCACTCACATCCAACCTTTCAGTATTTCCTTCATTGTTGGGTTTTGTTTTATTTTTATGTGATGGTCTTAAATTGTTCATTATTTGTTGGCAGGGACTTTGCCTTATATAATTTTTTTTTTTATTTCCCACAGGACCTGTGTGGAAATAAAAATGAATGCCCCTATCCTCATTAGTTTTGACTATTTTGAAAGGCTACAGTGAAATATTCACTGGGCATTCAGTGAATATTTGTAAAAATTTAATCAGTCTGTTCATTTTGTTTACCGTGTCCATAGCCTGTATGATTCTATAGTTTTTGTTTATATAATCTCTCAGCCTTGGTCACTGGTCATTATAGATTGAAAAGGTTCCAGTCTTTTTAGTTTTTCCTCATGGTATTGCATCATGCCGTTTTGTTTTTCTATATATTGCTTTTGGATTATCAGCAGCTCTGATTTTATGTAGTATTCCAACTAATGATTGTTTGTGTTTTTTCTGATAGCAAGATTTTGGGATTTTTGTGGGAAGGATGCCTTACAGAACTAGATAGGATATGCTTAATGAGTGTGTACTTCCTAGCTTGTGGTGGAGAGTTCTCCCTGACACTTTCAAAACAGCTAACCTAGACCCCCACAATCTTTCCCTAAAATCCTGAGTTGTTTCTCCAGTGGCTAGAACTTAGACTGACTCTAGGGAATAAGAATGGGTCCTGCATCTTCCGCCTGAATTGGGTAGTGCTAGATGCCAGCCTTGTTTTGGGGTAGTGGTTTTAAGGGTGTTTCTCTCCTTTATTTCTGCCTAAACCAGAACTCTGGGGAAAAAATGACAGCATATTCTGGGGAACCTAAAGGGGTTGGTGAGGGCATTTTAGGCAACATCTGTCACTCCATTGCTTGTCAGGATTATTTTAGCTAATTTGTCTGACTGGGCAGGTGTCCCCTCTCTCCCTCAGTGCTCCATGTGCATCCCTCTTGAAGCTTCGCACTCTGTTGAAGAGGACACTCATCCCAGGTAGAGAGGGGGACGGGAAACTGGGCCAATTGAATCTCTATGTCCTTTTCTTTCCATCAGATCAAGGCTACTTAACTGGGATCCATTGACTTCCTGAGGTCCATGACCTCTATGAAACTATTTGCCAAGTTTTGTTCATGCATTGTGTGTTTCTTAGGGAAGAGGGGTCCACAACTTTCATCATATTCTCAAAGAGATCTGTAGATGCAAGTACTGTGGCACTAGATAATGATGTTTTCTGTCATGTGTTTCTTGTGTGTTTCTCAAGCAGGAATGATGGGAAATTAGAAATGCAAAGGGAAGTAGGGTGGAGGGACTTATGTAATCCTAGGCAAGCAATCACAGGATCCCTTTCTCATTTGTGGAACATATCTTGCAGATGTCTTCAGCAGAGTAGGCAGTACTGAAAGTTGTCTGTTTCTCAAGCAGGAATAACAAGGCTAGAAATGCAAAGACAAGACAGAATAAGTGATGTAAAATAAGTAGTTTGAAAATGTCTCAGTTTTTGTCACTAATGTGCATATTATTTAGGGAGTTTTAATTTAGTCATCATTAAAATGAGAAGGCTAGAATACATTCAGGGCTCCTTGTATCTCTAAGACACCTTTCATGGAAGAATTTTCTGCTAGGATGAAAGCGCTTATCGAATCCACTGCAGTAAATCCTCAGTCCGAAGCAGGAGAAGCAGTCCTAAAAGGAAGCGTAATAGACACTGTTCAAGTCATCAGTTACGTTTGGTATGATTGATTTTGTTTTTATTTTGAGTGGATTCTTAATTGTGTGTAAAAGCTCTTAAGGAGCTGATAAGTTTCTAAAAGTTTCTTTATATATGTAATGCTATTTGGATATAATTATTATATTACTTGAATCCTTAAAGGAAACGTCCACATTCTCATAGCTGATCTGTATATTTATTAGCTAGCCCTCACTTGCCCACATTTACTCATTCTACAGACCAGATCATGAGTTTGTTGATTTTAATTATAGAAATTATTTCATTTTTGTGTTTGTATAATATAATCTTATGAAAAATAATGCACCCATTTGTTCTTTCAATTGAAATATTATTTTACTTTGAAAGAAACCTCTTTCCTAATACTTAAAAACAAAATGGAAAGTTGCACTGATACTTAAATGTTGTTAACCTGTATATAGCATAATCCTTAATACAGTGCATCATTGTGTAATTACATCTATTGAAATTGTGAGTATGGGTGCTGAATGGGAAACATATTTTTAAAAAGCCAGATTTTTTTTTTAAATGGACATCTTCATTGTTTTAATCTGTAAACTGAATTGCAGTTTTTCTCCCCAACCTTTGTTTGATAGAATTAGCTGTTATTGGATTGAACATTGAAATTAACTAGCCTTTGTTTTCCCCTTTGATTTTAATCATGTATATTTCAGAATATTGCTAAATAAGACAGTTACAACAATCTTGACATTTTAAAACATTTTTCTGACAAACTAGACATCTCAACTCACAGCATATGCTAGTTATAGCAAGAGATTAGTAAATCATGACATTGCATTCTTTAAATTTCAGACTTCAATTAAATCAGTATTTTAAAGAGACAATTGTGTTGTTTTTCTATTGCCACTTTAAGTATCTTATCTGAAAATCTGTTCCTTGCCATGTTTTTCTTCTGTAACATAAACTGTGCCCTGTGAATTTCTGGGGACTGAATTTGAAATTGCTCCTGCCAACTGTTCGTGGCCTGGTGCTTATCTGAATGCCTGAATATCTCCCCGCTGAATGAATTGCGTATTCTGCCCTGAATTCACTCTGATATATTGATTGGCTGGGCGATCTTGGTGCTGCCCACTTGCCGTTCCAGAAGAGCCACCGAAGGAAAAGATCCAGGAGTATAGAGGATGATGAGGAGGGTCACCTGATCTGTCAAAGTGGAGACATTCTAAGAGCAAGATGTATAGAATATTTTTCAACACTTTTTAAACTTTGCAGACAGAATAATCTTTTTAAGAATAGTTTGTCAGCGGGGGGCTAAAGAACTCTTCATTGCTTTTTTGTTTTGTTTTTTGTGGGTTGGTTTGTTCTTTTGTATTTCTTCTTTTCTGTAGAATTTAAATATTTCTACTCTAAAGTTCCAAAATAATCAGTGGAATTTGAGATTAGAGCAAGAAAGATAGCTCTATCTAATTGTTTTTGTAGCAGATGAAAATAAAATAATTTGAGTGCTGAAACATTAGTTATGCTTGTTAGAGATCATTTGAAAATATTCCACACTTAAGCATTCATTGTTTGAATAACTAGTTAATTTATACTTAGTTACTTATACCTCTTCTTCTCTCCCTCACTTTAGATGAAATCGTGGACACTTTGGGTGAAGGGGCCTTTGGCAAAGTTGTAGAATGCATTGATCATGGCATGTAAGTTTATTTTTATATCTTTGAACATTCTGATATTTTTGATGGGAAATCACCCATAATTTAAATGAAGTATGTTTTTAAAGTAGTAGTAGCTACAAGTTTTTCTGATAGATATTCAACATTTCTTTAACCTAGATATAGTTTATTTACCAGGTACGTAGATTTTATGAAGAATGCTGACAAATTCTATCAAATTGAGTTTATTGAAGTTAAAGTGTGTGTTCAAGTGAAGGAGTTTCCCAGAGCTTAGATTGTTGGTCCTCTATTAGGAGAGATTCAGCTACTTTTGGATTGCAGAGACAAAAATATATCTAAATTTTCATAATAGAGTTAACTTCCTAGTCTGCAAAGAAATTATCCTACTTGAGACCTACAGAATTAAGTCCAATTTTTTAAATGAGGCCTACCTACCCGTTTGTGATTTGATGACCTACTCTGCCTCATTTTACCATATTCCTTCAGTTCCTCTATTCTGTGGTTTGCCTATGTCTGTGTAACTAAATCTTTTAAAGCACGTTTAGTAGAACTGCATATTTTAAATTGACATCTAAAGTTTTTTGTCATAAATTATGATAGTTGGAAAGGATGTAATTTTCAGCTTATTTTAAATATGAGTATTTAAAAACTAAATTTTTAAATATATTGGAGGCAGTCTCAATATCATAGCCACTTGATAATGTACTATCATTCATGAACAAACTTTCTTGAATGCATACTTAGGACTGGGGGAGTAGCTCAGCAATCAAGTACTTGTGCAAAGCCCTGGGTTCAGTCCTCAGCAACACAAATTTTTCATCCTTGAAGTAATTTCTGTTCCATTGTCCATAAAGAAAATTATCCTAAATTTTATTATCACCCCATCTTACTTCTCTGCAACAAAAATGTGAACATAAGTTGAATTTTATACTTTGAAATATTTGTAGACTCACAGAACAGTGGACAAGACTTGGGTGGGAAGGCAGGTGATCCAACAGGGAGAGACAGGTACAGGCCCAGGGACACTGTCAGGTGTTAGGGTTCTGGGTACAGAACCAAGCACCCAGAAAGAGTAAGGGGCCCATGTGAGAGGCAGGGCTCTGTTTCCCATAAGGTGCCCTGGCCTAGATTAGAATCCAGGGCCAGGGTCCTGACAAAGGAGGCCTGGCAAGGGAAGGGGGATAGGAGGAGGGTGACGGCAGGGCATGGCAGAGGGTCCTGGTAGGTGCTCAGAAGGGAGAGACCCAGGACCCAAGCTAGCAGCCCAGGAAAGGGACCCACTCGACCGTTCTTGGATGAGAGACCCAAAGAGAAGGAGACCCACAGCGCCAGAGGAATTCGTGAGGGAAAGGCGAAGAAGGGGTTGCATGAGGACCAGAAGACAGACAAAAGCACAAGGCACCTAGGGGAGCCCGCTGCAGGGCACAAGCAAGAAGCCTCCAGGTCAGACCCAACACAAAGAGACTCCATGTTATGCTAAAGGACATGAGGAAAGGGGTCAGGAGTTCAGGGAAGCAGCCAGGCCCTGGGACTGAAGCGCAACAGACCAAGGTTAGGGAAGGCTGGGTTGGGGTTGGGGCATCACGCAAGGCAAGAGGGCACTAGAGAGAAGGGGATTCAAAGGGCTGGGTTGGAGCAAGTCACATGTTTACTGCCAGGCATCAAGGTTCAAGCAGTGAAGGGGACACAGGCCAGTGGCAGGGCTGTGTTTCCCACAGGGTGCAGAGGCCAGCCAATTCCATTCCTCTGTCCCAGGTGAGTAGATCCTCAGAGAGGGACCTGGACCAAAGGAGGGGCAAAAGCAGGCACTTTTAGATGATACCTGTGATGCAGAGTTGGGGGTGGGGTTGGTGGGCAGCCAGGACCCATTTGAGGAGCCCCGACTACAAAGGAGCCGGGGGAGCAGAGGGTCTGGGCAGTGCCAGAATACCTCAGCATAAGGGGAACAGAGGGTAAATGGGGCCTGAAACCAAGGGACAGGGACATGGTCCCCAAGAAGGGCAGCAAGGTCAAGCAAGGAGCTGGACCCAGTAATGGAGAGCCAAGCGCTAGCACCTGGGCCTGGGTGAATGAAAAGGGACATGGTTGTTTTTGGGAACTCTTATACCTCTGCAGCCTGGGTAGAGCAGACTGGCTCCTCCAGGCGAAAGACTCCTCCCACCTTGGTGTCCAGGCTAGCTTGCATTCTGCCTCAGCCAACCTAGAGGGGACTCGTCCCTCCAGGCAAGAGACCCCTCCCACCTCGGTTTGTAGAAGGGGCTCCTATACAGGTGCAGCCAGGGTAACAGGGACTTGCCCCTCCAGGCCGGAGATCCCTTTCACCTGGATGTCTGAGGGAATTCATATACCTCCACATGCAGTGTGGAGGGGACTCGCCCCTCCAGGCGGGAGACCTCTTCCTCCTGGATGTCTGGGGAAACTCCTATATCTCCACAGGAAGAGTAGAAGGGACTCACCCCTCCAGGCAGGAGATGCCACCCAACTGGGTGTCAGAGGAGCTAGTACACTGCTCCAACGAGGGTAGAGCGTACTCCCCCCACCAGGCCGGAATCTCCTCCCACCTAGGTGTCTGGGGGATCTTGTATACTGCCACAGCATGGTTAGAGGGGACTCGCCTCTCCTGGCAAAGATCCCTACCATCTCGGTGTTGAAGGGAGCTCATATACCATTGCCACCAGTGTAGAGGGGACTTACCCCTGCAGTGGGAAGTCGCCTCCCACGTGGGTGTCTTGGGAGGTCTTATATGGCACCAGCTAAAGTAGAGGGCACTCTCCCCTCCAGGGGGGAGAACTCTCCCACCTGGCTGCTGGGGTGAGCTTGTATGCTACCAAAGCCAGTATAGAGGGGACTCACCACTCCAGGCGGGACACCCCTCCCACCTGGTTGTCTGAGGAAGCTTGTATACTTCCACAGCTAGGGTAGAGGTGATTTGCTGCTCTATGCAGGAGACTCTTCCTACCTGGGTGTCAGGGGGAGCTCTTATACTGCCACAGCCAGGGTAAAGGGGATTTGCCCCTCCAGGCAGGATATGCCTCCCACCTGGGTGTCGGGGGGCGATCTTATACTGCCATAGCCAGGATAGAGGGGACGCGCCCCTCCAGGGTAGAGACCCCTTTCACCTGGGTGTCCAGGGGAGCTCCTATAATGCCACAACAAGGTTAGGGGAAACTAACTAGACCATGCCCGCCTGGGTGTGGGGGGGGAGCTATTATACTGCCACAGCCAGGGTAGAGGAGACTCGCCCCTCCAGGAAGGAGACCCTTCCCAACTGGGTGTCACCCGGGGCTTGTATAAATCCTTAGCAAGGGTAGAGGGTTGTTGCCTCTCCAGGCAGGAGACCCTTCCCGCCAAGGTGTCAGGGGGAGCTCATATTCTTTAGCAGCCAGGGTAGAGGGGACTTGCCCCTCCATATTGGAGACCCCTCCCACGTGGGTATGGTAGGGGGCAGCGACTATACCACCATAGAAAGGGTAGAGGGGAATCGCCCCTCCTTGCTGCAGAACCACTCCCACCTGGGTGTCAGGGGAGCTCCTACACCACTGTAGCCAGGGGAGAAAGGACTCGCCCTTCTAAGGAGGAGACCGCTCCCACCTTGGGTGTCTTTGGGAATTCCTATACAGCAGCAGCCAGGGGAGAGCCGACTCACCCCTCCAGGAGAGAGACCCCTCCCATCTTGATGCCAGGGCAAGCTTGAATTCCTCCTTAGCCAGGGTAGAGGGGATTTGCCCCTCTAAGTGGGAGACCACTCCAACCTGGGTGTTGGAGCTGGGCAGGTATACAGCTACAGCCAGGGTAGCAGAGACTCTCCTCTCCAGGCAGGAGACCTCTTTCATCTGGTTGTCAGGGGGAGCTCTTATCCCTCTGCAACAATTTAGATGGGACTCACCCCTCAAGGCAAGAGACCCCTCCCTCCTGGGTGTGTGTGTGTGGCGGGCAGCTCTTAAATCTCCAAAGCCAGAGTGGATGGGACTCACGACTCCAGTCCGAAGACACCTAAAACCTCTGTGTCAGTGGGAGCTCCTATACCACCACAGGCAGGGTCCAGGGTACTCTACCTTCCAGGTGGTAGACTCCTCCCAACTGGGTGTCAGGAGACCTATTGTACTGCAGCAGCCAGGGTAGAGAGGTCTTGCCCCTCCATGTGGGAGACCCCTTCCACCTGGGTGTCTCAAGGAGCTTGTATACCACCTTAGCCAGGGTAGAGGCGACTTGCCCCTCCAGACGGGAGACCCCTCCCATCTGAGTGTGAGGGCAGCTCATATACCACTGCAGCCAATGTAGAGGGTACTTGCTGCACCAGGCGAGAGACACCTTCCACCAGGGTGTCGGGAGATTGTATACTGCCACAGCCAGGGTAGAGGGGACTCTCCTCACCAGGCAGGAGACCCCACCCACCTCCATGTGTGGGGGATCTTGTAGACTGCCAAAGCCAGGTTAGAGGGTACTCGCCTCTCCAGTCGAAGAATCTTCCCACCTGGGTATCAAAGAGAGCTCATATACCTCTGCAGACAGAGTAGCATGGACTTGCCCCTCCAGGTGAGAGACCCCTCCCACCTGAGTGTCTGGAGGAGCTCCTATGCCTCTGCAGCCAGGGTAGAGGGGCCTTCCCTTCCAGTTGGGAGACACTGCCCACATGGGTGTCCTAGGAGTTCTTATATGGCACCAGCCAAAGTAGAGGGGACTCGTCCCTCCAGGTGGGAGGACCCTCCCACCTGGGTGCTGGGGTGAGCTTGTATACCGCAAGAGCCAGGATAGAGGGGACTTGCCCCTCCAGGTGGGAGACCCCTCCCACCTGGGTGTCTTGGCAAGCTTGTATATCTCCACAGCTAGGGTAAAGGGGATTCACTGCTCTAGGTGTGTGACCCATTCTACCTGGGTGTCAGGGGGAGCTCATATATTACTGCAGACAGCAACAAGGGAAATCGCACTTCCCGCAGGAGAACCCTCCCATCTGGGTGGGTGGGGGAGATCATATAACACACAAGCCAGAATAGAGGGGACTCGCCCCTCCAAGCAGGAGACCC